ACCTCTATAACTTGAGTTATATGGTGAATGATTCCTTGTGTAATTTGTGTTGTTCGGAAGTGGTTTTCCTGAACTGTTATTACTCTAAATATTTTAGTTTGGTAGATTTTGGTCTTTTTTTCAGGTATTGATAGATAGAACGATTTATTTGGTTCTTTATGCTTTTGAGGTTTATTCTGATTGTCTTGTTGTTTTTGTCTACATTCGGAAATACTGTGTCCGTATCGTCGGCAATAATTAAACCATTTTTTGAAAGATGGTTTGCCTTTAAAGTTTGGATGTTTTTCGTAGTTATTTAGTATTTCAGTGATTTTTTAATCAGGTCTGTGTCTGATTCCTGTATGTTATTTATATGTGTAGTATTTGTTTCAATTCGATTAACATAATGTAGTTTTAGATTTTCTGTTTCTTCGAGTTTCATTGTGATTTCTGCTTGTTCTAGTTTATCTTTTAATTTTCGAAAATCCAAGTCTGGTTCTCGAATTGAGGAAAGCTGAGATGCTCTCTTTTTTATCGCTATTTTCCTTAATTGAGGTGTTAAGGTCATCATTAAAATTTCTGTCATTTTTGTGTTTTTATAATCATGTGTATTAAGTGAGTAAGCTTTTCGAACTAGTGTTTCGATACATACTGCTAATTGTTTAATTGTTTCATTTGGTAATCTGCGAATTTCATTACATAAAACTCTTTGTTGTTGTTTATTTCTTTCAGAGTCAAACATTTTTGAAAATTCTTGTGTGAATCTTTTCCAGTCTGATTTTATTTCTATGGGTAAAACTGAAAACCATTTTTGAGCTGCGCCATCTAGGGTTGTTTGTATTAATGCTGTGCATCTATGTATCCAATTTTGATGTAGTGGCGTATTAACTGGTTCGGGTCCTATATTTAAAATTAAATTTGCTGTTACTGCATTTAGATAATCTTCTAAAGAATATTCAGGGTCTGTTCCTGTGAATACCATCAGTGGTTTATTGGATGTTATTGATGATCCACCCATGAGGTATGGATTCATTGTCATCTGTAGTGATTCTGCGGCATTTGGCATTTTTGAAAAATTTGAAAGTTGATATTTTGTTATTTCGTGTTGCTGAAGGTGATATGGAAGCGGTTTTTCATTTTGCATTTGAGTTGGTTGATAAGAATGCATTAACATTGGGTTTTGTGGTTGTATTGGTTGAAAAGATTGTGTGTTAAATGGGTTTTGTGTATGCATTTGTTGTGGATTTTGTACATTTGTTGGGTTTTGTGGGTAAATTTTTATATTTCGTGATGGTTGAGATTGTCGCGGTCTCTGTGTGCGATATTCTTTAGTATATGGTGCAAAAATATTTGGTTGGTGATAATCATCTTCATCAGATGATAAATAGTTTGTATTATATGGTGTATCTTGGTTATTTTTATTTTGTTGAAAGAATGGGTAGTTTTCACTATAATCCTGTGTAGGTTGTGGATTATCTGGAAAATTTACTGAATTGGTCGATGTTTTCGGGAGATTCCAACAATGGGAACATACGTGATTTAAATGTTGTGTGTTTTTTCGGGGAGGTCGGTTTGTTCTTGGTTTGTGAGGATAATTATAATTGTGTTCTGCAAAGGCATTTCTTGTGAATGGTTTTTGTGTTTTTGACGGTATTGTCATTGGTCTATACGTTTGATAGTCCATTTGTGAATATTTTGGAGCAACCGAAGGTTTAACAGTTGATTGTAAGGTTACTTGTGTTAGTGATGTATTTGTATTTCTTGGTGTTGTCAAATTGGGGTGTATTGGTGAAATACTTTGTTGTGTAGTTGTTGTTGTTTGGACGATTTCTTCATTTATGAAGTGTGATGGTGTTTGAATATCTTGTTGTGTAAGATTTCTGGTTCCATTAAGGTTTTCGTTATGTATGACGGTCGAATTTAAACTGTTATTTCGTGTATCAGGTAAAAATGTATTATAATTCAATGGTGTTGCATCAATGGTTAATGGTATTACTTTTACATAATCTCTGTGATAAGATATTGTACTTATTGCTTGACTTGAGATAGCTTGTGGGATATTTAGAAATGCATGATGAGACCATTCAGGGTCCCAAACGTAGTCTGATTGTTCTGAAAGAGCGGTGTCGTCATTTGTATTTTGAGGTCTAAAATTTTTTCTTGCTTGTAAAATTAAATCTAAATTGTGGGTGAAATAATCTATTATAAACCATGCTAAAATCTTTTGTAAATCAGGTTCAGTGTGTTGTGAAACATCATCTTTAGTGAGATTTTTGCGAATTATATGTAGAAATGTTGAAAATACTGTGATTTCATTTCGTACTTTTGTATGTCTGGATGTTTCAGTTGGTGAGATACTTTGAACTTCTGTTTTTTCTAATATAGATATATAACTATATATTATTGCAAAAACTTCGTTACTGAATATGGAGTTTACTTTTTGTGAATTATGATATTGTATGCTTTTGATAAATTCTATGAATATTTTTGAAAATTCTAATTCAATATCATCTGTTTGAATTACATATTTACGATGGGCTGTATTTGGTGTGCTGAATTCCATAGTGTAGATTCAATTTTGTTGTGTTAGATTACATATGTCTTTCAAATAATGTTCAATAATTTGTCTTTTGATTTTTACATCTGGGAATTCTTGTTTGCATGGAGTGATTCCTGGTTCAAAAAAAATTTACGAGTAAGTTCTTGCAAAAATCATGTTGTCCTCTACCATCGAGTGAATCTATAAAAAAGGGAAAAACTGCTTCGTCATCTGGACTATCGTCAGTTTGAGTGTGGCTCATTTTTTCGTTTGATGACTGTTAATATATAACTATCGATGTGTCTAATTGGTTGATTCCAATTATATAAGTGTACTGGCTTGTGTTTGTATTGCTTTTTTATTCTTCTTTTTCCTCTTTTTGATGAATTTAAAGTTGTTTCTGAGTCGGAAAAATATAATTGATCATGGATGGGACAATTTTTATCTATTGATTCTTTCAATTTGTATTTGTTTAAACTGCTGGCTTCTGATTCAGAAAATGCGTTTCTATTTTTTGGAAATCTTTTTCGTGTGATTTGTCTTTGTTTGTTTATAATTTTCCTTTTTATTGTTTGTCGTTTTGTTCTAATGTGTCCAACTGTTTGTGTATGAGGTGTGATTACAAGATCGTAATTTTTGTTATCTATTTCACAGTTGTGTAAAACGATTGTTTGTTTATTTCCTAAATTTTTGAATGACATAAGGTTTAGGATGAGGGATGCAAGAAGTTGTTAGTTATTTCTATTTCCTTAGACTGTTAGTCCTTACGATTTTTTGGTTAGCTTAACCTGGGTCTTTTTGTTCAGGGTTGGAGAGAAAGGTATATCGATTCCGAAGAATGATTTTTTGACTTTATCGTGGCTAGTCTAAGCTAAGGTGTTAACTTACTTAATCATACTTAGGGGTAGTTATTGTGTTCAAGGGTTGGAGAATAGTAAATCGATCCACAAGGTTCAGGTATAATAGGAACGCAAGTAGTTCGTTAGATACTATTTTAAACTTACTAAGTCTAAGATCTATCCTGGGTCTGGTAAGAGGAGGGTTCAATTGAAGGATGAATAACCGAAGTTCTTCACTGTTTATCTTAATTTGAATGGTTAGTTTTATTGAAAAATTTCTATTAGTCCTGGGTCTTTTGGAAAGGTTGGATAATGAATCGACGTTTGAGGTCGTTAGACACTTGCTAAGTGGGTGGGGGAGAACAAGATTGTTCTTTTTGATCCAAGGATAGGCCTTGATGATCAGGTTTTAAATTTAGTGAAATAAAAATATTATTAAGATCCAAGGATAAGCCTTGATGATCTGATTTTGCAAACTAAGTGAATTTAAGTTCAAAATGGTTTAAGTTTATTTAATAAAAAGATTTAGTTTTTCAATGGTATTAGTGAGCTTATGATTGCTGTTATGTTTAGGTGATGAAGCTGGAACAACAGGATGATTTATGATTACTAACAATTTATTGTCATGCTACTAATTTTTTTTTTTTTTTAATAAAAATTTTTCAAATATGTTTTATATAATACTGCAGAAACTAAGAAAACGATCTGAGATCTTTTTATCAATCGTTATTGTACAATAATAATTTTGTTTAGCGCCTGAAATGAACATGAAGATTTACTTCAAAATTCTATGTTTGCAACCGAAAATCTAAATTCATTGCTAATAAGATTCTAAATACAAAAGTTTGTGTTGGCTTTTGCCGTACAACCATAAAACTAAGTGGTAAGTTTCTACTTAGTCGTATATCGTCTCTTGTCCGAGGTCTTCTTCCAATACCGGGTAGTTCTAGTATCGTTCGGAATATCGGCTCTTATCTATTGAGTCGTAGAGACGTTTCAATTAAATTATTATCGTGTAACATTTTGAAAATGTTTTGTCTAAATTCTAATCTATATTTGGTTAGTTCTAAGCTATTAAGGTCTTATTCGAGACTTATGGTCGCACCAGATGAGTTAGAACCGATGTGGTTAATTCATAGAGTAATTTCGCATAGGGTACACCGTCTGCTCGTCACGCTATCTTATTTTCGGCCGGATAGATTCGTGCAACTTCTTAGTCTAATACCGATCCTAATCTTACTCTTATACTTACTAGTCTCAGGGTGTTTAACTAGTCTCTCCTAGGCTCAATAGATCTAGGGTATACTGGTTTATTGCGGCTGCTGACGTTTTCTTGGAGAGGCAACTAATTTCTAAGTTAAATTCAAATCTCTCTGGTGCTGAAATTACAAGTAATTTCAGCACTTACAAATAAGTGGGTTGTTAGTTGGATGGATTATGATTGGTTAATATTAAATATTTTACAGTGGTAAAATATCCAATTTATCCAATTATAAAATGTAGTTTAGATCAGGTTCCATAAAGTTGAGTCAGCATTTTTTAAAACTGATTTAAGGTAATATCTGATTACCATGATAGACATATCATAGGAAGATCAAAATGTGTGAATTAAACTTTGCGCAGAACAGATTATTTTACTTCAGCCGGGTTTGCGAGGACCCACGCACTGAAGCTAAAGGAGGAAAACGCTTGCAAGATGGCAAATTCTGAGAATTGGGAGAGGGAAAACTTGTGTGGATTTGGTCACGCAGGCGAGAATCTATACTGGGCCATGAGTGGAAGTGGAATTGACAATTCGATGAGAAAAAACGCGGGATGGAGCGCCACACAATCATGGTGCTGTGCTGATCTGAAAAAATTAGAGGCTCCAAGCTTTCAGCAACTTTTTTAATCTTTTGGTGGGCTTGGAAAACAAATTTGGTCAAGTTTTGGTTTTGAAAAAATGTTTAGAAAAAGTTCCTTCGTGACGATAATAAATCTGTCCCTGCATGTCTTTACAATCATTCCTATTTAATTATAAAATAAAATTGCACTTAGCTTTAATAAACAATTTGACTGGTTATTTTTCAGGTGGGATGAGTTGAATGGTTACGTGTATGGAGTGTCGGAAGATTCGAGTGGCAACCTATCCCCAGGCAGCTACACAATGTGCAGCACCAGAAACAGCCACGGCCAAGTTGGACACTTCACTCAGGCAAGCTAATCACTTTCCTTTTCACTTTTAAGTTAATAACTTTAAACTTGAAGCTTACGAAACTGGGAAGGTGAGATGGGGAGAGCGCTGATGCCTGTTGCTTGATACTCTAATTCGCTCACGGCCTTCTACTGGTCATTTACTTCCACGTTGAAAACGATTGTTTTTAAAGCGTAATAAAGGGTTAAAGCGTAATCCCCAATTTAAAGGCAAGTTATAAATTGCTTGCGCAAACTGAGTTCATCTGTCTTTTTACCACTGATAAGATCAAATTTAGATCTGCAATTTTGATTAAATATCTGAATTGGAAAATATTGACACAATTTAAAGTAACCAAACATTAGCCATGGTAGCCACCCTACTAATTTGCGAGAACTTCATCATCTTTCTAAGATCATCATCTTTCTTTGACTGAGGCCTCCTGCGGATGCAGTGAACACAATTGGGTCTTGAAGATGCAAGAAAAATGGTAAACTTTGCATGTGCCTGTAGGTGATGTGATGTGGGATGACACAACCCACCTCGGCTGCGACTTCGCCGAGTGCTACAACTCCCTTGTAATTGTCTGCATCTACGGCAAAGCTGGAAACTGGGGTGGACAAGCCCCATTCTCAATTGCCCAGAGGGACAAACTGAACCAGAGTCCCGAAGCGGGGGACTTCGGAGGACTTCCAACGTGCACCGACGGGGGTCCGATGAACAATGACGGCGTCACGACTGATGCGGTGACAACTATTCCGACAACCACGACGTCAACCACAACAACAACTACGACAACTACCTCGACGACTTCTGTTCCGACAGACTTTGTGATTCCGCTGGGTGGTGATGGTGTATGTCAAGGTCAATGGGGATCGCAATGCATCTTTCCGATCGACACTCCATGGGGGAGGGCAACTAATTGCAACTTCTTCGTCAATCTGGGATTCGACTCCGAATATTTTTTCCTGTATAGTGAAGGTGATTCGCACTATGTGGACATTTGTGACCCTAGTGACGCTGATTGTCCGTACTAATCGATCAATTAAATTATATATCACAGTGAAAACAGACTAAGGAACTGTAAGACACAAAAAAGTTGTTTGACAAATTGAGACATGGAAAATATTCTATCGCATTACTTCAAATTCTCAATTAGAGAACATTTGTCAGATCGAATAACTAACTGCGACTTGAATATGTTCACATAACCTTTCGTCCAGCTTATTGTTTTGACTTCCGAAGAAAGTGAGAAATATATAGGCTCGGGGTCGTTTTTTATTCAGGCCAGTTTACAAAAATTTAACTTCCGCGATTTTGCTCTTTTGATCTGCATGGGCGCAGACGGGTATGCAAACCACTAGAGTACCCGTACTCAGTAAAAAGAGAAAAGAATAGATTATAATGGATTTTTATTGTCAGTCTCCATAAATTTTTAAAAAAAGAGATTACAATCGATTAAAAATGATTATAATGTTACTATTTTTCGAAACAAAAAAACTCATCATAATCAATTGTAATCGATTATTTTTTGAAAATGGAACCTGATCTAAACTACATTTTATGATTGGATAAATTGGATATTTTACCACTGTAAAGTATTTAATATTAACCAATCATAATCCATCTAACTAACAACCCACTTATTTGTAAGTGCTGAAATTACTTGTAATTTCAGCACCAGAGAGATTTGAATTTAACTTAGAAATTAGTTGCCTCTCCAAAAGAACTTCAGCAGCCGCAATAAACCAGTATACCCTAGATCTATTGAGCCTAGCAGAGACTAGTTAAACACCCTGAGACTAGAAAGTATAAGAGTAAGATTAGGATCGGTATTAGACTAAGAAGTTGCACGAATCTATCCGGCCGAAAACAAGATAGCGTGACAAGCAGACGGTTACCCTATCCGAAATTACTCTATGAGTTAACCACATCGATCATAACTCATCTGGTGCGACCATAAATCTCGAATAAGACCTTAATAGCTCAGAACTAACCAAAAATAGATTAGAAATTAGACAAAACATTTTCAAAATGTTATACGAAAATAATTTAATTGAAATGTCTCTACGACTCAATAGATCAGAGCCGATATTCCGAACAATAATAGAACTACCCGGAATTGGAAGAAGACTTCGGACGAGAGACAACATACGACAAAGTAGAAACTTACCATTTAGTTTTATGATTGTACGGCAAAAGCCAACACAAACTTTTGTATTTAGAATCTTATTAGCAATGAATTTAGATTTTCATTTGCAAACATAAAATTTTGAAGTCAATCTACATGATCATTTCAGGCGCTAAACAAAATTATTAATGTACAATGACGATTGATAAAAAGATCTCAGATCTTTTTCTTAATTTCTGCAGTCTTATATAAAACATATTTGAAAAATATTTATTGAAAATGAAAATAAAAATTAGTAGCATGACAATAAATTGTTAGTAAACATAAATCATCTGTTGTCCCAGCTTCATCACCTAAACATAACAGCAATCATAAGCTCACTAATATCATTAAAGAACTAAATCTTTTTCTTAAATAAACTTAAACCATTTTAAACTTAAATTCACTTAATTTTAAAATCAGATCATCAAGGCTTATCCTTGTATCTTAATTAATTTTCTATTTCACTAAATTTTAAACCTGATCATCAAGGCCTATCCTTGGATCAAAAAGAACAATTTTGTTCTCCCCCACCCACTTAGCAAGTGTCTAACGACCTCAAACGTCGATTCACTATCCAACCCTTCCAAAAGACCCAAGACTAAAGAAATTTTTTAATAAAACTAACCATTCAATTTAAGATAAACAGTGAAGAACTTCGGTTATTCATCCTTCACTTGAACCCTCCTCTTATCAGACCCAGGATAGATCTTAGACTTAGTAAGTTTAAAATAGTATCTAACGAACTACTTGTGTTCTAATAATACCTGAACCTTGTGGATCGATTTACTATTCTCCAACCCTTGAACACAATCACTACCCCTAAGTAAGATTAAGTAAGTTAACACCATAGCTTAGACTAGCCACGAGAAAGTAAAAAACCATTCTTCGGAATCGATGTACTTTTCTCTCCAACCCTGAAAAAAAAAGACCCAGGTTAAGCTAACCAAAAAATTGTAAGGACTAACAGTCTAAGATATAGAAATACCTAACAACTTTTTGCATCCCTCATCCTAAACCTTATGTCATTCAAAAATTTAGGAAATAAGCAAACAATCGTTTTACACAACTGTGAAATAGATAACAAAAAATACGATCTTGTAATCACACCTCATACACAAACAGTTGGATACATTAGAACAAAACGACAAACAATAAAAAGAAAAATTATAAACAAACAAAGACAAATCACACGAAAAAGATTTTCAAAAAATAGAAACGCATTTTCTGAATCAGAAGCCAGCAGTTTAGATGAACTCTACAAATTAAAGGAATCAATTGATAAAAATTGTCCCATTCACGATCAATTATATTTTTCCGATTCAGAAACAACTTCAAATTATCAAAAAGAGGAAAAAGAAGAATAAAAAAGCAATACAAACACAAACCAGTACACCTGTATAATTGGAATCAACCAATTAGACACATCGATAGATATATTTTAACAGTCATCAAACGAAAAAATGAGCCACACTCAAAGTGACGATAGTCCAGATGACGAAGAAGTTTACCCCTTTCTCATAGATTCACCCGATGATAGAGGGCAACATGATTTTTGCAAGAACTTACTGGTAAATTTGTTTGAACCCGCAATCAGTCCATGCAAAGCAGAATTCCCAGATGTAAAAATAAAAAGACAAATTATTGAACATTATTTGAAAGACATATTTAACCTAACACAACAATATGGAATCTACACCAGAGAATTCAGCACACCAAATACGAACCATCGTAAATATGTAATTCAAACAGATGGTATTGAATTAGAATTTTCAAAAGTATTCCTAGAATATATCAAAAGCATACATTATCATAATTCACAAACAGCAAACTCCATATTCACTAACGAAGTTTTTGCAATAATATATACTTATATCTCTATATTAGAAAAAACAGAAGTTCAAAGTATCTCATCAACTGAAACATCCAAACATACAAAAGTACAGAACGAAATCGCATTATTTTCAACATTTCTACATATAATTAAAGAAAATTTCACTAAAGATGATGTTTCACAACACACTAAACATGATTTACAAAAGATTTTAGCATGGTTTTTAATAGATTATTTCACCCACAATTTAGATTTAATTTTACAAGCAAGAAAAAATTTTAGACCTCAAAATACATATGACGACACCGCTCTCTCAGAACAATCAGACTACGTTTGGGACCCTGAATGGTCTCATCATGCATTTCTAAATATCCCACAAGCTATCTCAAGTCAAGCAATAAGTACAATATCTTATCACAGAGATTATGTAAAAGTAATACCATTAACCATTGATGCAACACCATTGAATTATAATACATTTTTACCTGATACACGAAATAACAGTTTAAATTCGACCGTCATACATAACGAAAACCTTAATGGAACCAGAAATCTTACACAACAAGATATTCAAACACCATCACACTTCATAAATGAAGAAATCGTCCAAACAACAACAACTACACAACAAAGTATTTCACCAATACACCCCAATTTGACAACACCAAGAAATACAAATACATCATTAACACAAGTAACCTTACAATCAACTGTTAAACCTTCGGTTGCTCCAAAATATTCACAAATGGACTATCAAACGTTTAGACCAATGACAATACCGTCAAAAACACAAAAACCATTCACAAGAAATACCTTTGCAGAACACAATTATAATTATGCTCACAAACCAAGAACAAACCGACCTCCCCGAAAAAACACACAACATTTAAATCACGTATGTTCTCATTATTGGAATCTCCCGAAAACATTGAATAATTCAGTAAATTTTCCCGATAATCCACAACCTACACAGGATTATACTGAAAATTACCCATTCTTTCAACAAAATAAAACTAACCAACATACACTATTTAATATAAACTATTTATCATCCGATGAAGATGATTATCAGCAACCAGATATTTTTGCACCATATATTAAAGAATATCGCACACAAAGACCACGACAACCTCAACCATCTCGAAATATGAAAATTTACCCACAAAACCCAACAGATGTACAACATCCACAACAAATGCATATACAAAACCCATTTAACACACAATCTTTTCAACCAATACAACCACAAAATCCAATGTCAATGCATTCTTATCAACCAACTCAAATGCAAAATGAAATACCGCTTCCATATTACCTTCAGCAACACGAAATAACAAAAAATCTACTTTCAAATTGTTTCTGAAATTTTATTGAATTGTAATCCATTTTAATCTATTATACTTTATTTTTATTCAAAAAACGTCATCGCTTCATTTCTTTTTATTTTATTTTGTTTTGTGTGCTTTTGAATTGGTTTCTTTTCTTACTGTTTGCTGTTTACTGTTTACTTTCTTCTTTTTTACTGCAAGGACGGATTTAGGGGGGGATTTCAGGGACCTGCTGCCTACCCAAAGGGCTCCCCCTTTGTACTATTTTGAGATATCCATTTGGTGAAAACCCTTTGGCCTCTGGCGCCAATAAAAATTAATTTTAAGGTGGAGTGCGCGCCAAAAAAAACGCGATTTTTTGGTGAAGTTTTTCCAAAAAATACCTAAAAAAGCTTTTGTTTTGGCCTGTTTCTTCAAAATTTTGCCTGCATCGCACAAAATTTGGCCAAAACAGGGTCTTTTAAGTGCTCTGGGAGAGCTCGGAAAATCAATTTGGTCGACCTAAAAAAAAGTCGATAAAATTTTTGGAAATTTTTTGAAAATCCCCCTCCACCCTTCGAGAAAACCTCATATCTTCCCCTGGTATACTGATTTCTTACTTCTTACTGATTTTTACTGTGTTTTCATGCAAAATAGCTAAATTATTATATATTACATTTCATTTTTCTTGTAAAATAATATTTTGATAGAAAAAGGGATTATAAT